AGCTGCCTAGCTAGTCTTGGTATAATCCAGAGTGGCTTCTAGTTCTTCAGATCTATTCAGAGGTATATTTGCTGTATAATCACTTCTTATATGTGAAGGTGGCTATTAAAGTCTGGGCGTGGAGATGGTCCAGGAAGAAATGGAGGCTGCAATTTGGACAGCTACAGTTGGGAGGTACATTGTGTTATATCTCCTGGATGAGAGATTCATCTGGTTTCAGGCAAAACAATATTTCTGTTCCTTCCCAGCAGGAAGAAAAGGCACCTTCTATACAGAATACAGGAGCCCAATAGCACCACCCTGCACAATGCAGACTCACAATGGAAAACAAATTTGACCCATTTTATGTCAACAAAAAATGTCCACTCCCCTAGGTGCTTTGTGGTCCCATTAACTGTCTTTGGGCAGACAGAAATTACCTACACTGTATTGTCCAATTATTCTGTACTCTTTCATCAAGGCCTGTTTGGAATGGGAGGAGTTGACAAAAAGTATATTATCAGCTTGTCCCACACTGTACAGATGGAGAGAGTGATGAAAAAGAACAAGGAAGGAGTTTTCAAGAAGATAATTGGTGTGTTATTTTAGCCTGATCAAATAAAATATGAAAGACGAGAAAAATATTTGATTTCATACAGTTAAATAAACTTTAAATAACATGCAAAGGGAGGGGTGTGTGGAAGAAAAATGTCTGTGTGATAGATATTTCTACTTAAAAACATAAGACATAAGAGAGCTTTTATTTCTTACTTGCCTACCCACTGCCAGGCACCGTCATATATCTTCTGCACATGGCTGTTGGGGCAGAATGAGCCCACCAAACAGAAGCATCTCTTCTCCTTACCTGGGTCTATGAACAATTGAGAGAGACCAATTGGGTATGGAAATGGAAATAAAAATACTACCTTTGTGATGCATCTAGTTTTTGAAGATGGTCAATTAGACGCATACTACTACACCTACAGATACACCCTACCTAAATGGAACTTACTGTAAAACAAAAGTCCATTCTTTGGTGGGAAACAGGATAAGTGCACAGAACAGTCAAAGGAAAATATATAAAGGAAGACACTGAACTTCTTAAACACCGATGTACCTTACAATCTCCACAGACAGAAAAAGGACTCCTCCTGAGGTAGGAAAGAATCAGTGAGAAACTGGGGTTTTACTCTCACCTCAAAAACAGTAAGAGTAGTTACATGGGGAGCAAGTTTCCATGTTAATATTTCTCTCGGTTTTACTGTCACAATATTAAGGGCTGTCAGAGGCAAAAATTTGTTTTTCCAAAAGCATCAGTTCCATACATAGGAAGATTATCTACCTCAACCCCCAGACAATCTTTAGACTACTTCTGATTTATTTCCATCTCTGCCTACCCTGCAATTCTTTTCCAAAGGATAAGTGACTTAACTCATTGATGCTTATGACAGCAAGAGCTAGCCAGCCTGGTGTGACGTTCTCTGGCTTTCCTGTGGCTTTGCCTGCTTTCAGATACAGTGTTCATCTTGGCAGAAAATGTGCTTACGTAGGCTCTGCCCTTTGGGATTGGCCTAGGACTTTCCTCTGGTGTTAAAGATGAATGAGTCAGGCTCCTCAGTATTTCGGGGAGGAAACTTTAGAAACTTTCTGACTACACTCCATTCATTGACTTCAGTAATGAAGCAAGTATGGTTAGCATTTTAGTGTTATTGTAACTATCTTCATTTTCAATTAATACCAGCTCAGGAGAGAGAGAAGCAAGGACTATTTCTTCCTAAGCTCATAAATTTAAGAGCACTGGAAGTTTTCAACAACTTCAAAGCTACTGTTATGACGTACATTAGAGGCTTCAATCTGAAGAACTAGGAATGCCAGACACAAGCCCATTTACTTTGACAGGTAGCATCTCCTATTTGTGTCTAGTTGTTACAGTTGTAGAGATAATTTAAGTAGACCAGGCTAGGGCATCAGCGAGAAGGACTTGAGCACCGCACAGTGAAAGGCTGCAGCGAGCGCCAAGTGATCTAAGAATGTGCACTTTATCTGCATAAACTCAATTCACGGTTGGAACCAAGACAATTTGACAGTCATTGCTGGGCACGATCATACCAAACTGGCGGAAGTGTATTATGTAGGCCTCTTGGTACGGAGAGACTGAATATGCTTGGATAAGGGGCTGTCTTCAGGTGTGATGATGAACTACCAAAGGCAGCCAGCTTTCACAAAGCACCCATGAGTGTCCACCCTCCAGAGAAAAATGCAGAGTCGACGTTTAAGTTCATATCTTTTGTGTGCTATTTAAACACTTGGAGCCAATAGGAAGAAGGTAGGAAAGGCTAAGATCTGAGATTCAGTTTGTCATGGATCAATTGAAACCTTCACTAAATGGTCTCAAGAATAAATAACATAAGGTTTGAATACCATTTGCAGTATCAAAATCCTTGACAGACTGTAAGCATTTTGAGTTTGACATGACAAACAAATTTCTGTTTATTATTCACAAGCCAGTGGGGAAAATGGGGTACTTTAACTGGGAATGGGAAAGGGTTATACAGTGGTAGAAAGAGGAGAGATAAATAATGCTTGGGTGGGTTGAAAAACCAGAGGGACATGCACTAGTTTAAAAGCCTACTGAAAATATGCATTGTGTGTGTGTGTGTGTGTGTGTGTGTGTGTGTGCATGTGAGTGTGCGCACACGCACACACACATACACGTATAGTTGAAGGCTATATAACAAGAAACACAATGTTAGATGGGGAAACCTCTGAGGTGTGGTTCAGAGTAGTCTAAGAAACTCCCAAAATAACACACACTATTGCCATAGCCATTCATTGCCTCCCAGAAGCCGAAGGTTAGAAACTACTGCCTAAAACAGGACATACTTGGAACACAGGACTTGAAGCAATGGCCCTGGAACTGACCTGGAGGCCTTCTTCCTGAAGAATAGCTCTCATAGTATCAAAGGATACTATATAAACTGCTAAAGGAGGAACCCAATCAATGGTCCAACTCAGCGGTAAAGCCTAATAGCCACAACGATGAGCTGTGCACTCTACGTGCTGTTTCCAAAAGTGCAAGAGTAGCACTTTACCTCAGGGGTAATCAACAGCTACCTGATTGAACTTAAAGCCTACTCCGTGAGAGGAAACATATGAATGCGGAGTACTTAATGCTAGATAAGATGTCCAGGTGTCAGTGGATGAACTTACCCCAAGGACTATCTGGGAACACAAACTTGAAAAAAAGGCCCTTATATATATGACAAAATGTGTGAAATTTGACAGGAGGGCTACACAGGAGGTTCAGATAAGGGAGAGGGTCTAATTTTCTCAGATTATCAAAGAGAAACTGGATTAGTAGAAGAAAAAAATGTAAATTTCACTCGTTTCAGAATTAGAACAAAAAATAATGATAATAAAATCATGTATGTTAAGATGAAAAGAGACAAATATTTTGTTAGAAGTGAGTTTAATAAGACAAGATTAGTATATATACAGAAAATTAGATATTAGGAGTTAGACCAGATATGACTAAAAAGTAAAAATGTATTCAGGTAGAACTGCACTTAATAGGAAGCCTAGGGAACATGGAGAAGTTTTAATTGTTACCAGGTAAGAAAAAATGTGCACAATGGAAGAACTCTAACAGCCAAGGACAGACCATATCTCACAGACAGAAAAGGGTGGCCAAGCATCCCAGGTTAACCACATGGAGGGGAGACCATGTCAAGAGCAACTGCAAGAAAAAAAGAAAATGGATCTAAGTGTGAAAGAACAGATGGTTCCCTACAAATGATTTCCAGATACAGGAGGTGTCAGTCAAGTAGACAGAGTTATCAAATGGAAAGAAAGCAGTACTTCTTGTATTTTAAGGAAATAAATTCCTGAAGAGCACAGAGTTAGAACTTCATACAAATGGCCTCTACATGAGCTTGGTTTTTTGATGTTCAACAGGGAGAACTCTCTTAAAGTCTTTCCTATTTGGAGAGTTGAGGTTGGGTGGTATTTGAACTGTGAATTCTGACAGACTCCAATGGTCACTGAATCTTGTTTAGAAATGGAGCATGAAACAGATGAAAGTGATATTTTAAAATAGGGGCCAAAGAGAATGCAAAAGTAAGTGCTATGGTTTGATTATATTCTTTACATTTAATGAATCAGGGTTTTGATCTCCAAAGTAGCAGTGCTGGCAGATGAGGCCTGGTAGAGGTCATTGGTTACATATCATGATGTAAGAGTGAGGTAGTTGTTACAAGAATGTGCTGGTATAAAAGTGAGTTCACCCACAATTCTGTCTCTTACTAAGGGTGTTTTCTTTTCTTCCTCTAGCCTTTCATTGAGGCAGAAAGGCACTTCTCAGATCTCAATACCATGCCCTTGGGCATTTTGTCTTCTAGAATCTTGAGATAGAAAAACCTTTATTGCTTGTAAGCTACCCAGTGTCTAATACTCCTTTATAGTAGTATAAGACAGAATTAAGCAGAAATAAAAAGACATGACCTCTCAGATTCAACAGTTATCTCTAGCCCACATGGTGTTAAGAAGAGAGGAGGAAGGATAAAAATGTGACAATATCCACTGAAGTTTCTAAAAGGAGATGGAACATTGTCAGAGGAAAAGAGAGCACCAGAGATGTTTGTCTCCCACTATTAGATATAAAAATGTTGAAAAGATTTCAGGAAATTATGATCATGAACAAGGTCAGGAACCCAAAAAGTAAACATAATAAAAGTTTTCAACTCATAGTGCCATTATCAGAGGCATTACGAAAATCTGTGGAAAAAGATCTTATAGCAAAATCTATTGTGAGAATGAAGTGGAACACTTCTCTGTGAGGGGAGACTTTATCTATGAAATATCAGGAGAACCCACAGTGCCCACATTGGCACTAGACTCCTTATACCAGCTTGTAAGAAAAAAATGAAGGTTGTCTATAGGTGAGCCGTACTCTGCTCAGTACTACAGAATCAGACACATAAGGCTTTCAGAAAAAGAGAAAATATAGACATGGTGCTACTGTTCTTACTATGGTTTGTTTCACAGGTTTGCCTGTTATCCTTGTAGAGGGTTCATGCAAATATTGTATCATTCCAATTTTATTATATGTGCTACTGCAGTGAACACAAAATATTTCGTAATATCTCAAATGAAGGAGAAACAGGCAATCAAAGAAAATTATGGTTGTAGACACCACCAACTATTTTTGCTTTTTAATGTAGTTGTGTGTGTGCATGTGCACATACGTGTGTACATGTGTGTGTACATGTGTTCACGTGTGCATGCCTGTATGCATAGGCTTAAAGTTGGTACTGAGTGTCTTCTTTGATCACTCTCCATTTTGTTTACTGAGGCAGGGTTTCTTGATGAACCCAAAGCTTGCTGATTATGGCTAGTCTAGCTAGCTAACTTACCCTAGGTGCTGCAGTAAAAGGTGGCCACCACACATATTCAGCTTCTATGTGTGTTCTGGGGATCCTGACCCTGGGCTTCCTGCTGGAAGGGCAGGCTCATTAACCACTGAACCATCTCCAAAGCCCTGTTTTTTTTTTAATTTAAGAATATATTAGATGGTGTATACAGATAGATTGCTCTTTCATGATTCTTTTCTCACAGGACTCATGTAGAGTCACAACTAATTGCTTGAATAGAAATTCTGTAAATTATTTTTAAACTCACAGATTGCACTTATTTTAAAAATATTTTATTATTGTTTTTATTTTATGTGTATGAATGTACTGCCTATGTGAATATAAGTTCACCTGTGTCCTGCAATGCCCATGGAAGTCAGAAGAGGTTGTTGGATCCTCTAGAACTCGAGTTTCATGGCGGTTGTTAGCCGCCACGTGGGTAATTGGAATTGAACTCAACCCTCTGCAAGAATAACCAGTGCTCTTAACTGGTGAGCCATCTCTCCAGCCCTTAGATTGTATTTCTTGAAATCCTGTAGTTAAATTTTGCAACCTTCTTATAGAACTTGAGTCCTCCTGGTTGAGAAGTCAAAAACCGAAAAGTATTTATACTTGAAATCTAACTCTTGTTGGAGGCTAAGCAACTTGCATCCATCCAGTAAAGAAAATCCCAAGTTACTGCTTCAGAAGGAATTTCCTCTCTTCAAAAATATAAGAGAATTTCCCTTATGTTACATGGAAAAGTAGATATTTGGAAACACTGCAAGACCTGTGGGATTTAATTTACTTGGACTTTACTATATGATTTTTCTTTTGCTTAAAATCTCCTTTGAACATATAATCTGCATAGCTAGTCAAAACTGGACAACTTTGTCCCCATCATCCACCTTGGACCTGGCCTTCTTCTAGCTCCTGCACCCTGAGAGCTCCAGACTAGCCTGCTAAGAAAGGGAAAAAACCTAAATGTCCCTCAACAGATAAATGAATAATGAAAATGTGATACATTTACACCATGGAGTTCTATTCAGTGAAAAAAAAAAGAAATCATGAAATCTAAAAACAAGTGTATCTCTCACCACTCATCAAAGAAGCTTCTTTTGGCAACAGATGGAGATTATTACAAAGTTCTCCAACTGGTGAAATGCAGAGAATAAGTGTCTTTGTGGTGCCCAGCCCTAAGTGAACATCTACAATGCAACCTCCACACCTGAGGCTCAGAGAACATAGTGGAACAGAGGAAGAAACAAGTGCTGTATCTCTCAACTCTCACCAGCAAAGCTTCCTTATACAACAGATGGTGACTAATCCAGAAAGCCAAAGTTAGCCAAATGTACAAAATAAAAATTTGCAGAGTGGTTGTCCCTGAACAAGATATCTGTGTCAAACCTCTGGACCCAAGGCTCAGGGGCCATTGCAGAAGAGGGGCAGAAAGCCTGTGAGAACCCGAGGTGGTGAATAGCCACAAGGAACGAGCTTCCAGATGAATGGGAAGTTATTCAATATGAACTTAGAGCAGTGTTAACAGCATGCACAAGACACATACACGTCCAAGCCAGACAAAAACCCAGCATAGAACTGAGGAAATGAATATGAAGCCCCAAACTTATCTAAAGAACTTTTGGCAACTCATAACTACTGGGAGAGGGAGAGATGTTATTCTTTAAGGGAGTGATACTAGATAGATGTGATGTGGATAAACTCACACTTAAAGACATTTGGGGACACAAACTTGGCTTGATAACCCTGAACACAGATGACAGAATACAGGAAACCTGGTGGGGGGATTATAAGAGGGCTGCAGATAGGGGAAAGGGTCTAAATATGATCAAATATGTTATGTGAAATAAACAAAAATTCAATAAAAATAGTAAAGTAATGAGTTCCTTTGGTTGCCATGATAGCTCTGGGAGTCAAATGCTTGCTGTGAAGCAAGATGACCTGAGATGAGATCCCCACAGCCTATCAAAAGCTGAGTATGTTAGCACACAAACACAATTCTAGTACCCCTACTGCCAAATGGGAGGCAGAGACAGCCCTAAAAACTCATGGACTAAATATCCTGAGACATGAAGGCAGAGAATAAAAGAGAACCTGTTTCAAACAAGAGGGAAGGTACAAACCAACACCTATGGTCTCCATCTGCAGTGCCCCCACCATATTCCACCTGCAGTGCCCCCACCATATTCCACCTGCAGTGCCCCCCACATAAAAGTTACTGTAGAAATTAGATAAGAGGAGGAAAATGATATACAATCTGGGGGGATTTTTCCTCTCCTGAAATGTTACTAGAGTTTATTTATTTGTGCTTTAATGGGCACTGGGTTAAAGAATGTAAGAGCAGGCTCTCCTTTTGTAGTCTTTACCATATTTTATTCATTATTCCAGAGAGTTCTGTCCATCTCAGTTTTAATAATAGCAAAGGAGATGAGCACCCCTGTGTTTTGGACTTCCTCTGCAAGGTTACTCTTATCCACTCCCGTTCCCTATTTTCAGCTATGATTTGAATAGGTCAGCAAAACAATTTGATGTGATTGATATTTGTTCCAAATCTGGAATCCCAGATGAAGAGACAAATTTCTCTAGGAATGGTTCCTTAGAGTATTTAGCAATTAGTTTGTCTATAGAGCACCAGCTCAACTGTGGGAGACCATGTCGTTGCTTAGAAACTATACTTCCCACCTCACAAAACCAGTGCTATCCCCACTCTAACCATGAGCTTGACCATGTGGGTTTATTCAGTCATTGAGTATGACCAGATGTTACTCAGCTGAGCTTTAAATGTCCCTGTGTAGGGACCTGCCCTCTTACACTGTAACCAAGAGAAGGCTGTAAGGCCATAATAGTTATTGATCTTCCTGTTATGGTTACAGAACACCAAAAAGAGAGACTTAACACCCACACACAGGCATCCCACTACTACCTCACTGTCCAAGAATGAGAAATAACTGCAATTTAAGCACTTGTGATTTTGGAATTGCTGGTTGGTATAGCAGAAAAGATCAGTATAAAATGAAACATTTTTACTATTCTATAATCCCTCAATATTTTATATCAAATCTGACTTATAATCAAAGCTCTCTGCTTGGCTCTGTGGCCTGTAGAGCTACATCTGACCCATTGCTTGAGTTAATACTCTGCTTCACCATATTAAAATTCTTAATTTTATAAGAAGCAGATTCGAATTTTCAGTTTTTATCAGATCTGATTACATTTTATACCTGGTCCTGTGACTGATGTAGAAATTTAAGCGAGAAGAATAACTGACTTACATTTTATTCTTTAATTCCATAATTCCATGCTTACGCATAAACGTGTACAGATACAGAATTTTTTTTCCATTGGTGGAATCAACTGGATGACTTTGCTACCCAAGTTTCAGAATGTGGCCTTAATTCTCTTGGCCAAATTTGATTTCGCTGTCAAATGATTTGCATAACAATATCTGTTATAGAGATGCTATGAGAATTAAATGATTGATTTATCAAAGATAAAGCATATCCTGCTTGTATGATATTAGATCTTCAATTAGTATCTCCACACCATCATCATATACATAAAGTTTCAACTAAACCCCACTCTGGAAAACCAATGCCAGATATCTTCATCAGCAATGTGAAGATGAAGTTGGCAGGCTGGTATTTGGACAACGGTGGGAGGAGGTGAGAAATGCACTCCTTTCCGCTATCCTCCTTCTGTGTCATCTCCTGAAACTTTAAATAACTGTCTAGTTTTCTTTACAGTCTGAACTTAGTAATTAAGACATTATTTTTGTGTTTGACTTTTCATCAGGAATTAAGGTTTAAATGAGCATACTCCATGATAAAGATATTTTGTATCAAAGTAGCCTAGGAAAACGGCACCAAATTCAGTTCCACATTCAGGCTTGTGATCAGTGTGATCAACTTAGTTAGCCCTCTTTTGGTAAAGAAGAAAAAAGTCAATAGCTTGACCCAGTCCTTGAGTATTTGCTCACTATTGCAACCAAATGGTCTAAAATACACTGAGATGGTTTCCCCACAGAAACATCCCTCCAATGTTTTAATCAGTTCAAATGATAATTAGTACAAGGCCACAGCATTGAAGTTTTCTTCCACATCACTTTTTAAGGAACAGAGCTATAATAAAGAATTTTCTTTTGGCAGGGGACAGAGCTAGCAGTAGATTCAAACTGGAGCATGTAAGTTTTACCAGTGATTGAGAAAAGCGTGCATCCAAGTGCCTTACCGTGCTCCAGTTTTCACCTGAGCCACTTAGTTTATTTCAAAGCGCTTGGATCATTGTGAGTGAGAGTGCAATTTACTATAATATTTGGCTGCAATTGCCATAAAAGATAACTGGGAAGTTGGGGATCTGTGAAAGTCTTATTTAGAGCTCTATCAATCTTAAGTTTACCTCCTCCAAAATAAGTATACCACTTGAGGAGAGTGACTGGAATTTAAGACTAAAGGACTGAATTGAGGGGGTCAGAGATACCCAAAAGCATAAAGACAGACATAGTTTATTTTTTTTCAATCTTGTGGAGTCATTCAATGCACATGTTTACTGAATGGCAGGCAGTGTATTAATTGCCATAGCTGTGTGATGAGCAAACAGTGTCTGTGTTGAAGAACTTTATCTAATATTGATGTTCAAAAGAAAAAGAAAGCAGTAGAATGTCACCTCTGAGCTGGTGGGGACAAAAATGTGTTGAGCTCCTAACTGTTGGAGTAAAAACTT